CAAATGCCTCCCACATCCCTGTTCCCACGGACGCTCACCTGTGGGGTTGCCCTCAGGTACAGGAAGCCATGGAGGGTGGCACGAGGGCCCAGGTGCTGCAGCAGGAAGCCGTGCCAGTCCTGGTAAATGGCCCATTCCAGAGGATTCAGGTGCCCAACCTCAAAGAGGTTCTTGGCAAAGATGTACCTGGAAGGGACGGGGAGAGGGGACCGTTGGCAGCAGGATCTCCAAGTCATCCCCACACCCAGGGGGCTTCACAGACATTCTTCCACCTTTTATCCACCAATCAGGAATTGCAGGTGGTTAAATTAGGGCGAAAATCCCTAATTTGGGACTGGAATGTGCAGTGTCCAGCACAGTTCAGCCCCACCGGGCTCAGCACCACCCACAGGGCTTCACGCTGCCACCAAACACAGGTGAGGGTGGGGTAGATGAGACATCAGACGAGGATGGAACCCCCCAAAATTATCCAGAGGATACAGAAGCCCCCAAATTATCCAAGAATCACATTCCTGTAGTTAAGCATCGCTCCAGGTGTCAACAGGGATGGCGGCTCTGCCCACCCTGGGGGTCCCAGGCTCCCAACCAAACTGCTGTGGATGCTCCATATCCCATTTAATCCCTTCATCCCTCCTCCCTCCCATTCTTTGGGTACCTGTCGCTGTACACGGAGCGCTCGAAGACCCTCACGGGGTGGGGGGTCCCAGGGGGCTCCTCCGGCAGCTCCAGCATCGCCTTCAGCCGGCTCATGAAGGAGAAGGTCTGGAAGGTGTAGGACCAGCGGGCCGGCTCCTGGTACATCATCTGGAGGAGGTTGGTGGAGCCCGTGGATTCCTACAGAGGGAGAGCTGCGAGATGAGGGCTGGGGGTCCCAGTGGCTCTGCTCCCCCTGCCAAGGGGTGGGGGTGGCTCCGGACCCCCCGGGCTGTGCTGGGGCAGGGGGGCCAGGGGACAGCACCCACTGACCCGGCCTTTGATCAGAACAGTGGTGGAGTCACCTTCAGTACTTCTCTGTGCCACCTCCAGTTCCCTCTCCAAATTAAGTCTGCATTGAGCAGAAAGGGAAGGAAAACTTGGGAGTGCTCAGCACGTCTCCTTTGAGCTCCCCCCTAAAAGCCTCCCAGCGCATGGTAAAGATTTAGCAATGTACCACCAGGGACAAAGCTGGGCTAGCAACCAGAGCAGGGATCAGCAATCTTCCCAGGGTTTTCCAAACTGCTCTGTTTTTCAACCAGAGCAGAGGTGACACCTGCTAATGAGCAGGATCTTGCCTTGGCTCTGGCTTCAGGCAGAACTGCCCAGGAACTGAGGGTCCCTCTGGAAATGTCCCCCTGGACTTGCTACAAGACACTCAAACACACCCACACCAACATGTCTCTGCTCTGGGGACGAGAGCTGGAGGCAGAGAATCAGCACCACGGGAGGCCAGGCTCATCCCACCTCCCAGATCCTCCCGGGGAGGGTGGAGAGCTGGGGGCATCCACAGTGTGGGGCTGGGATTTGGACTCACAACTCCTGGCCTGGCTCAGGCTGAAGATTTGGGGAACTGAGGGGCTTTGGGACACCAAAAGCCCAAAAACGGGGGCAGAGAGAGAAAACCACAGGAAGAGGCATCTCCAAACACGGAATTCCAGGGATCCCAGGGAGCTGAGGCCAGGAGGAGGTGATGCACTGACCCAGGGCTTTCCAGCAGTGCCAAATTCCCACCCCAGCTCCGGGGTGTCCCCACAGCAGAGCTCCCACACCCACCTCCCCAGGGTGCCAGGATGGAGCCAGGATGGAGCCGGGATGGAGCTGGAGCTGCTGTTACCTGGGCAGTGCCCCCGGCCGGCACCTTCCTCCACTGTGCCACGGGCTCTGTCACCAGGTGCCATCGCGGGAAGGTGGCTCCGAGCAGCTTCAGGAAGGTCGATTTCCCCACGGCTGGAAGGGGGGGAGAGCAGGGTGAGCCTGGGTGTCCATCCCTTCCTGGCTCCTGGGATGTGGGGTGAGTTTGGGTGTTCCTTCGTCCCAGCTCCCAGTAACGCAGGGTGAGCCTGGGTGTTCCCCCATCCTGGCTCCTGGGAACGTGGGGTGAGCTTGGATGTCCCCTGTGCTGGCTCACGGTGACACAGGGTGAGCCTGGCTGTCCCCCATCTCAGCTCCCGGGAATGTGGGGTGAGCCTGGGTGTTCCACACACAAGGTCCTGGTAACACAGGGTGAGCCTGGGTGTCCCCCACCCCAGCTCCTGGGAAAAAATGGGATGAGGCCGGGGGTACCCCTGCTCTGACTCCCAGGACCGTGGGATGAGCTTGGTGTCCCCCCCACCAAATACCAGGGCCATGGGATGAGCCCGGGTGTCCCCCGTCCCAGATCCCAGTAACACGGGGTGAGCTTGGATGTCGCCCCATCCCGGCTCCGAGTAGCGTGGGGTGAGCCGGGGTGTCCCCCTGCTCGGGCTCCCAGGAAGGGGGGGATGAGCCCGAACGCTGCCCCATCCCGGCTCCCGGGAATAGAGGGTGAGCCTGGGCGACCCCAGCTCCACATCCCGGAACCACGGGGTGAGCCCGGGGGTCCTCTGTCCCGACTCCCAGCAAACACAGGGGTACCCCGGGTGCCCCCACCCCGTCTCCCCGCAACGCGCGGTTTGACCCCCCCCTCCAGCAATAACAATTAATTAATTGCAGCCATTAACTGGCACCCCGGGACGCTCCGGGCTGTGCCCCCCCCGCTCCTCCATCACACCCCAAATCCTCCTGTCCCCCCGTACCGATGTTCCCCTCCAGGGCCAGGCGCAGGGCGGCCCCGCACCGCCCCATTCCCGCTTCCGCCTCTCCCGCGTCACATGCTAATGACATGCTAATGAGCGGGGCGCGTGACGTCATCGCGCGGGAAGTGGGCGGGGGGGAACGAAAGGCGGGAGAGGAAATGCCGGGGAGGGGGAGGAAGGGAAGGGGGGAAGGAAACACCCGCGAAAAGAGGGAGAGGGGGGGGGTGGGGGTGTGTAA